AAACCCACGTTTCTATGAAAATTGAAACTTTTTTTTTTTTTTTTGCGGCCCACATAAACTTAAACCTTATTCATTTGGCCGTGTTAGCCTTTGAGTTTGACATGCTTGGTCTACACTGATAGCCAAACTCTGGGACTTCTCCTCCACTCCCTGAAGGTCTCTGGGGCAGTAAAACTCTGCACAAGGGACAATTAGCACTGCAACCTTTGTTTCTCTTATTTCAAGTGCCCTGGGTATGCTTCTAGGCCTTGAGTATGCACTCTTTGCAAGCCTAGGAAGAAGCAACAATAGATTAGCTGATACAGGCCAGATAGGCGCAGTGGCAGAACAGGGGTGGCCAATAATATAATTATTCCCCAGTGTTTTTCTCAGGAATGCCTAGGCCTCTCCACATTATATAGTGAATTTCCTTGTCAGGAATGTTGTAAAAGCTTTATGATAGACCTTTGTCACGCACAACAGGCAAATCCTTCCTGTTCAGCTAAGGTCAGAGGCCAGCCCTCACTTATACCTTGTTTTTTCTTAATAAAAAAAAATCACACCACTCTAATGGTCTCTTGACCCCCTTGCTGGCTCAGGAAAGCAATTTTAAGAAATCTAAAGACCAAAAAGACATTCTCAGTTAGAAAACTGCGATTGGGTTCAACACATCTGACTACTACAGTATAGTTTTCTCTATTATTTCATTTTCCCCTTCCCCATTCCTTTATTGTACATAAAGTAACTGATGTATGTGCACAAGCATTTGCATTTTTTTATAACTAAATGGCCAATGGTGTGTTTTGATCTATATCAAATGGAGATGGGATGGGGAAAAAATGCTGGTTCTGTGAAAACATCCCCTTTCTCCATTAGTGGGATGCTTATTCAGCTCTTATCTTTATATTCCAGTAAGTTATTTTGCTCTGTTTAACAAAATAAGAACTACATAAAAATTCTTGCATACCTTGTTTGGAGAATTTTAATGTTTTTCATTTGTCATTGTAAAACCAAGGACAATTTTATAACTTTTTTGTACGTAGCTGTTACATGTAGGGCAATCTGTCTTTAAGTAGGGATAAATTACTCTAAAAAAGTGAATCCTAGATAGTTTTCCCTTCAAGTCAACTGTCTTATTGTTTAAATAAACTTCTTGTTTAAAACAAAACAAAACACACCTGGGAGAATAAAAGGACATTTCTCTGGTCTGCCACCTGCTGGTGAATTCTAGCAATGCCATGGTTACATTGAATTTAGTGCCTGAACCCTATCTCACTACCTGAGCTCCCTTCACATACCTTTTTTTGGTCTGAGTTTCATAATTTCTTTTCCATTCTGTAATCCCTTTTCTATTTTTGTCTTGCAAATACTTTATTATATACTTTTTTTGTTAATTAATATGTGTCAGGTTCTAGCTATTTTCAAATGTTTATAATTCTTACTAATTTATATCTCTTCCCAAGACCTCTGCCTGATCAATCTCAGGAAAAGACAGTCACAGTGGATCAGGTGCTCTTTCAGGACCAGTCAAAATCTCTGGGGAAGTGACTCTTGGTTAAGGCACCGAATCCTGGTGAGACTGGGTGAACCACCCGCAGCAGTCAACGCCCTTGGTCATGTGAGTGGGAGCTCAGGGCTGTGTGGAGGACGGATTTGAAGAGAACAAGACTGCAGCAGGAGGGACAGTTAGGAGGCTACTGTAATAGCGATCTGGACAAGTCGGAGGGCTTGAACCGGGGAGTCTTAATAGGGCAGGAGCAGAATAGATGAAGCAGAGCTTTCTGCTGGAGTAAGAGTCAGATTCCTGGTTTCCCACTTGGGTGACTGGGTGATCTGCAGTGTCATCAAGTTAGGCAGCAAATACAGGCACACATCTAAGCAGGTTAAGGGGAAACCCAGGTTTGTTTGTTTTTTTTTTAATATATTTTATTGATTTTTTACAGAGAGGGATAGAAAGTTAGAAACATCGGTATGAGAGAAACATCCATCAGCTGCCTCTTGCACACTTCCTACTGGGGATGTGCCCGCAACCAAGGTACATGCTCTTGACCGGAATCGAACCTGGGACCCTTCAGTCTGCAGGCCAACGCTCTATCCACTGAGCCAAACTGGTTAGGGTGGAAACCCAGGCTTTGAATAAAGTGTGGGATAGCTTTATAATGTCTATGCAAAAAAAATATACAGCAGGCAGTGGAAAATAAAGGTTAGAGAATGGAGTGTCATCAATATTTGGGTGCAGGTGAAATGAGGAGAATGGATGAGATGGTTCTGGGAGCATAGGCAGAATAAGGACAACAGTGAGTTAGAGCTAGAAATGGGCACACTAGCATTTACAGGCCCTAAAAGAGGCATTAGTTCTGGAAGCATATGCAGAATAAAGACAAGACTGAGCTGGAGACAGAAACGGGCACACTAGCATTTGCAGGACAGGCCCTAAAAGAGGCATTCTTGATGGAGACCATAAAGGAAAAGTCAGAAAGAAAATCCCAGGAGAGTGCTATCACAGGTGAAAGAACAAGTTTCCAGAAGGTGGGAGTGATGGATAAACTGAATGGATCAGTAATATGAGGGCTAAAACTATATTACTTAATTTGGCAATTGGAAAGTCACCGGTAACCTAACTGAGAAAAACTTGCACAGAGTAGCAGCTAGGAAGGTGGACTGCAGCAGGTTGAGCAGTGCCTATGAGCTGATGAAACCGAGGGTAGCTTCTTTAAAGAAGTTGGTGTGAGAAAGGATGCTTGGGGTGGAATAATAATTAGGAGCGGCTGTATCCTGCAAGGATCAAGGGATGAAATGAAACCATCTAAGTAAGGTGCTCACCACAGTATCTAGGATATAGTAAGTGTCCAAGAAATGTGAATTGTTACCATTCACTTGTTGACCATATAATAATTTCAGACCTTATTATGCACCAGGCTCTGCTCTGGGCCCGTAGATTTAGTAAATAAACAAGAGACAAAAACTTTGCCCAAGGAACTGACATTCTAGCGAGGAGACAGACAAGAAACAAAATAACTTAAAATGTATGGTATACTTGATAGTGATAAATGCAAAGGAGAAAAAAAGAAACTGAGGAAAGGAGATATAAAATGCTGAAGGAGAGAACAAAAGTTTAGATTGGGTGGCCTGGGAGGGCTTCACTGAGGTGACTTTTTTTTTTTTTTAATATATTTTTATTGATTTCAGAGAGGACGGGAGAGGGAGAGAGAGAGAGCTAGAAACATCAATGATGAGAGAGAATCACTGATCGGCTGCCTCCTGCACTACCCCTACTGGGGACCGAAGCCCGCAACCCAGGCACATGCCCCTGACCGGAATTGAACCTGAGATCCTTCAGTCCGCAGGCCGACACTCTATCCACTGAGCCACGCCAGCTAGGGCTGAGGTGACTTTTAAGTAAAGACCCAAAGAAGTGAGAAAGGTACCTATAACTAGAAGTAGGGAATAATACTAATTATTATTATTGTTACTAGCATTTTTAATACAGTAAGACTATTATATCATCACTACCATCTTTGTCACAATTGACATTATCATCATTCCTGCCATCTCTGAAACTCCTGGGACCAAACGTGTAACCAGATATTCCCTCATTGCAGCTGGGTGGTGAGCTAGTATAAGGGGGTACATTAGAAGCAAAGCCACAGATGTGAACCGGTCTCACATGTAGTCACTGCAAATAAAAAGCTGCTTCACAGCCCTAGCCGGTTTGGCTCAGTGGATAGAGCATCGGCCTGCGGACTGAAAGGTCCCAGGTTCGATTCCGGTCAAGGGCATGTACCTGGGTTGCGGGCACATCCCCAGTAGGAGGTGTGCAGGAGGCAGCTTATCGATGTTTCTAACTCTCTATCCCTCTCCCTTCCTCTCTGTAAAAAATCAATAAAATAAAAAAATTTTTTTTTAAAAGAAGCTGCTTCACATGTGTGCTGAAGAGATGAGATGGCCAGCACCAGACTGATCTCCCATCCCGCCTGCACATTAACAGGCCATCTTCAGACCCAAAGGGCAGACACACAGACGTCTCTGAAGCCACAGGAAATGTAACTGCAGCTTGAATCAGTGCAGATGCAGTATGTAATATAGAGGTCACAAGAGAAGATTATATAATCAAGTATGTTTATCTGATTGTTGGGTAGAGGACTCAGTCAGTTCCATCTGGGAATAATAAAGAAGAATTGGAATTTCTGACTGTTCACCCAGCCCCATACACTGCTGAGAATAGCTAGATGTGTGACAAGCTTTCATGGGACTACACTAAACAAGGAGATCAGGTCTTGCTTGTGATGGATGCATTTGATCTTTCAACAGACTGACTTAGACTAATTACTATCCTCTTCAATTCAGAGAAAATGATACAAAAAATAAATAAAAGGAAGAGAATCCAAATGCCTGAGCACTCATCCTATCTTCAATATGTTTAAATTGCTACAAATTTCTTAAAAGGTACAACAAGTATTCATTCCTTCACAATCACAGGTCGTGATGGCAGATGGCATGCAACAGGAAATGTGACCTGCAGGCTTTAACAACAAACCCCTCTCCTCAACTGAGGTAGTAGAAAAGTTTTGAAATTATCCTAGGTTCATTTTTTAGGTGTACTGATTACCTAAAGAGAGTCAATACAGAACTCTCTAATAAAAAAAAAAAAAATAACCTCAAGACCATAACATAGCTTAACTAGCAGTGCTTAGAATATAGAAAACATTTTCATAAATTCCTTGAAAATGTCTATGTAAATAAAATAGATTATAAGCAATTCTCTCTGGCTACAAAACCAAATTAAACCATGTAACAACTAAGAAAATGCCCATGAAAGAAAGTAAACAGGACAATTATTTATAGCTCAAGTGAACAGTAATATGCTATATTTTTAATATTATTACTGCCTTATAATATGTTTACTATAAAACATTTCATATATATGTACAAATATATATATAAAAGCATGTATACTATATTATATTCCTGCATGTTAAATGCTTTCTAAGGAGTCCAGACGCTGACCTCACAAACATCATCTAAATCCATTTTAAGGCCACAAAATGAAATGCAGGTAAGAAGAGATTTTTAGTGTGTCCATCCCTCCATTTGGAAGCCAGCGTCCACATCCTCTGGGACTCTCAGCTGCGGTGGAGTGCAGGGGAGGGAGGGAAGAGGACAGCAACTATCCGCAGATTTCACTGAACCTGGTAATGACTTAAGCAGCAGGATTTAAGTTACCATGAGTTTTACTGTCTTTTAGAAACACCCTCATGCCGTCATGCTGTGGCCGAAGCACTGAAGGATGTCTGTGTTCCGTGTCAGCTGTTGAGCCAGGGTGCCCGTGATGTCTGGGGAGTCCCTCAGCCCAGACCGTAGAAGAAACTCGATGCAGGCCAGGTGCTGACCCGCGCAGGCCAGGTGTAGGGCTAGGCAGAGAGAGAAGTCACACAAACTTAGTGCATGATCCTCAAAGCAATACAGTAGGCTGCTCCTAATGAAAATATTGATTCTTTTAATTGTATAGATTTTATATTTCCACAATCCATCTGTGTGACTTTGCCCATACTAGATTAAAACATGTTTTCTTTTAAGCTGATTGGGATAGAAAGACTTAAAAATAACAAGATCAACTGGAGAGGATTTAAGAGATTTGACTAAAGCAACAAAGCAAGTTTATGAGAAATAGACTTTAACTGGTACAGAAAAACTTTTCAAAGTTTTGTGAACTCTCTGAGTAAAAGTATCACCATGAATGAGAATGATATGACAAAAACAAATAGAGCTGACAGATCTTCCTGTTCTGGTTAGAAATTAGCGCTGAAGGGACCCTGGCTCCTGCTCTGGTCTTTAGAAGAAAGTCTGTGTCCCTGGACTTGGGGACCATCCTCTGTGGCCTCATAGTTATCTATGAGTCTTTGAAGCATCATGAAGCCTCCACTAAACTCCTGAAGGATGGCCACTGACAAAGAGAATATTACTGAGTTTATTCGGAAGTATGAGTTTAAAGAATTAGCTCTGGAAATATCCTTCTGAGCTCTAAATTGAGAAAACTGTAATGATTGTACTTTTTAAATACACTTAAAAGAGAGATGACCTATGAAGCATCTATAAACTACCTGAATAGCTGGTGGCATCATGACAATATAAAGTATTTTTATGTCACATATACTGTTGTAGTTTAAAATGATAAAAACATAATAATAACAGCATTAATAATGAGTAGTAGTCATCATCATTGTCATGGGAACAGCAACAGTTCTATTTGGAGATGTAATTTTTTTTTTTTTTGAGATGTAATTTTAAGGAAAAGTTGCTGAGCTAGTAGAGGAATAACATTAAAACCAATTTTTTTTTAAAATATATATTTTATTGATTTTTTACAGAGAGGAAGGGAGAGAGATAGAGAGTTAGAAACATCGATAAGCTGCCTCCTGCACATCTCCTACTGGGGATGTGCCCACAACCCAGGTACATGCCCTTGACCGGAATCGAACCTGGGACCTTTCAGTCCGCAGGCCGACGCTCTATCCACTGAGCCAAACCGGTTTTGGCAAAACCAATGTTTTTAAAAGTCCATGTAGCCCTAGTTAGTTTGGCTCAGTGGATAGAGTGTCAGCCCGAGGACTGAAGGGCTTCAGGTTCAATTCTGGTCAAGGGCATGTACCTCGATTGCAGGCTTGATCCTGGCCAGGGTCAGGGCAGGCAACCAATCGATTTCTCTATCTCTCCCCCTTTCTTTCACTCTCTCTGAAAATCAACGAAGAAAATATCCTCGGGTGAGGATTAACAACAATAAAAAAGTGCATGTATTGTTTATATTCCACTGAATAATAAGTTCCAAGGCACAAAGAAACTGTACCTGATCGATTTCTTTCATCTTTAGAGTTGATGTCAGCACCCAAGGAAATGAGCATCTGAACTGTACTCACATGTCCTTCCTGAGGAGTGAAATAAACTCATTATCACTGTGACAAGCACCTTTAAACATAAACACGAATCTATATATTAGGTCATTTTTCTAAAATACTCAACTGCTAAAACTATATTTTCGTATCTAAAGGAAAAATCATCACATCACTCTCAAACTCCACTATAAATCATTAAAGATAGATTTTGGTGATATTCAGTTATTAGAAAATAGATGGTCAACTTTGGAGGCCAAATTACCGACTAATACAGTTGGGTTTCCTTCAGTGTAATGAGCCTACAGAACACACAATTCCAAATTCTCCCAAGTACACACACTCTTTGCTAAAATCTTTAGGGCAGAGATAAATTAGAAAAGATGGTCACCTCTCCTGGATGGGACTCTCATCATAGCTGGCATTATCATTCATGAGGCAATTTATACACTTTCTATCTAGCCAGTTAGTTCATTAGTATGTGGTGAGACTAAAGTCAAGGTTGTAGGTTCAATTTTCCTATGGGTGGACCCACTAGCTCCCCTCTCCCCCCTCTTAGCACACCGCCATTTATCTAACCACTTTCTCATAGGGGAATGCAGGCAAGAGTGTGTAGGTCAGGGTGAGGGGATGGACTAGAGGGGTTCAATGGGGGAACATAGGGGATGTATGTAATACTGTCAACAATAAAGATTCATTTTTTAAAAATTGCTAAAAAAATAAGAGTGTGTAAGCCATCAGAAAACAGTCTTGTTGCTAGAAAAACAAGTAAAGGCAAGTAGCCAATCATGTTAAAGATAATAAGCAAATACCCCTAGTATTTAAAACAGGAGGAAAACTTTTTAAAATAAGATTTTTATTAAGTGAGAATTCTTCTTTTTTTAAAATACTTTTAAAACTGATTTTTTAGAGAGAGAAGAAGGGAGAGGAATAGAGAGATGGAAACATTGATGAGAGAAAAACATTGATTGGCTGCCTCCTGCACCCTCCCACTGGGGATCGAGCCTGCAACCCGGGCATGTGCCCTAGACGGGAATTGAACCAGGGATCTCTTGGTTCATGGATCGATGCTCAACAACTGAACAACACAAGCCGGGCTGTAGTGAAAAATTTTTGCACGTCTTAAAATATTTTTTATACATTAGAGAGGCTGGTAAATGCAATTCCCTTCCCTCAATTAATAAATTTTAACTTCTGAAATTTACCATTAGGAGAGAGGGCTAGGAATTTAACATAATGGATTTTTACGACTTCAAAAACATCATTCTTGAAGACGAAAAAAGGGCAGGATGAAACATAAAATCCAGGCATTGAATGGAATAAAGGGTGTTTTCAGTTTTTGCCTAGCAACAAATAAAGGTAGGTTTCTATTTAAAGGGATGCAGGGCTTCCCTTTAACATTTTAGGAGCATATCATGAGCAATTTTTTTCTTCCAGAGATGGAGCCAAAGCAATAGGACAGTGGAGCTATTTCTCAGTAAAGTAAGGCAAGCCTAAGGAAGCAGGGACAACTTTATGAAAAGAAACAAACCTTAGCTGCATAATGAAGTGCTGTAAGGTGGGTTGATGTTGCTTTCACGTCTGCATCAATGCCAAGTTCAGATACCAAGAATCGGATGGCTTCATTCTGCCCAGTGACTGCTGCCCTGTGTATAGCCTGGGCTCCCAGGGAATCCTCAGCACAAATGCAAGCCTAGTAGGTTCGGGAGAGACAGTAAGAAAAATAAGCAGCAGAGAAAGCTGGGTCCATGGACCTTCTGACATTTTAGCTAAAATTTGTTGCCTATATACATTTTTCTGGGCCTATGTTATATAGCTTTTGTCAGATTATTTATTTATTTTTATGGTGATTATTATTATTTTAATATTTATTGTTGAGCTTTTGTCAGATTGTTAAAGGACTCTATAAACAAACAAACAAAAAGGTTAAGATTCAATGCTCTAAAGCAGTGGTTCTCAACCTTCTGGCCCTTTAAATACAGTTCCTCATGTTGTGACCCAACCATAAAATTATTTTCGTTGCTACTTCATAACTGTAATGTTGCTACTGTTATGAATTGTAATGTAAATATCTGATATTGCAGGATGGTCTTAGGCGAAAGGGTCGTTCGACCACTAAAGGGGTCGAGACCCACAGGCTGAGAACCACTGCTCTAAAGTGTGCCCAAAGTGCACTCAGTGGGGTTTGTTGTTATTACTATAAAACAGCTACTGTTACTTTGCTGCCATGGAGGGGTAGCTCAGTTGGTTAGAGCATCATCCTGATATGCCTAGGTTTTGGGTTTGATCCCCAGGGCACATACAAGAATCAACCAATCTACACTAATAAAAGAGAAACATGGTAATTAGCGTACGACCGCTACCCTTTTCATTGGCTAATCAGTGAGTATATGCAAATTAACTGTCAGCCAAGATGGCAGCCGGCAGCCA